TATATATATATATTTACACATATAATAGTGAGAGAATATGAATATAGGCGCATTTTAAAATTATATAGAATAAATAAAAAGTAGGGTTAATTCACAACTATTTTCTCATACCACAGGTCCTGAAGAATGACATGTTATCAGCGATACAGCTCTCACATATGTGTTATGTGGTGCATTTAGAAAAATCCTGCCACCTACTTAGATGTGGATGACAGCTCATCTTCCCTAGAAACAAATGGTACCAAATTTTAGACGCAATGTAATCTCCTTTTACTGGTGCCCTAATGCAGGCAGCCTTACAAAATGCAAAACTAATAAAACCTTCAAAACACTCATGTCCCACCAACTATTGCTTATCCCTAACAACTATCACCACTCTCAGAATCCTATTTAAAGCTTGACAGAACATTCAGCTTAAATCCAATATACACACACACAATAAAAATGGTTTCATTTAGAAAACAGCCACAGCCTGAGCAGAAAAGCCTGTCCACTGCCAGGGCACTGCAAAGAATGACCCTTGCCATCTGTGTGGAAGCATCATTGCTCTGCAAAGTTCCAACAAACGCCCTGCTGAGTCTAAGTTACAGCGATTTAATCAGGAGGGAGCATGAGCTTTGCTGTGCTGAGAGACCACTGCTGCCAAGCAGGGAACAAGGGTGGGGGGGCACCGCACGGCAAAGCACCTTGCCATGATGAGGACAAGAGCCTCTTCCATACAACCCTGGCCCGGTGGTTGTGGGGGTCTGCTGAATATGGGTGTGCCCTTTCATATAACACCTTTCAGTTAATTTCCGAAAATTCCGAACCGCAAAATTTAAATTTTCAGAATATGCCAATATTTGTCTGAATTTCAATTTGGAACAAAACAAAGTTTATTTTTATAAATGTTGCTCTTGTATAGTGTGCTGCGTCAGAAATTTATTCATGCAGAGTGGTAACATTACTGAAAGGTCCACTTTAAGAAGTTAAAGGGAAGATTGAATGCATCAATAGGTAACAAAGAAATCCCGCTTGATTTGCCCATCTTTCACATAAATGCGTTCATCTATCCAACTAATGTGACATCCTATCAGATGTCTTGGCTTGTTTCATTCTGCTATGCAGTCTCTTAGTCTGACAGCAATATTGAGAATTTAGTGATGCTTGTTTGAAGTAAATTGCCAGCAGTATCAGTGTAGGTGTTTAGCGGGGTGTGTTTGTGTGGA